GTGCCCCCCCGACCTCGCCCCCCACCTCGGGAAGCTCGGGATCTGGCATCAAGAGGGCTTTGGATGGAGTCCCCCAGGTCGGTGATAGCTATGTTAGAGCCCGACTGGACCCCTGCCCCGATGGCTCTCTGGCCCTCCCTAGTGGGTCCTCCAGCTCCCCCTCTCTGGTCCGCCACGATCGGGGTCAGGGGTCCCAGGAGTGTCCTGAATTTGTGAGAACGGTGCGCCATCGGGTGACCTTCGCCCCCGTTCTTGTGCCTCCCTCAGGGCCCGCTGAGGTCCTCAGGGCAGCGGTGGAAGTTGGCTCGAAGAACCGCCCCCGCGGGGCCCAACCTCTCGGCAGGTGCCGCGCGACCCCGCCTGAGGCCCCGTTGCCTCCGTCTGGTCCCGTCCCGCCGAGGGGCGCCCGTGGGCACAGGTTGTATATTTCCTACGATATCGTGGGACGCAGCAGGCGCGGTGCGTACTCAGCCAGAGGTAGCCGCTCACAATTATTTGATGTCTGTGATCCTGACCAGCTTCAGGACGATCGACAGCGCAAATGGCGCCGCGATAACTTTACGTCGGGGGTCCATCCCCGAGGTGCGAAGGGTAATCCCGCTATCTCCGTTCCTCGGCCCCTCGATGTAGCTGATGAGGCTGTGCAGTGGCTCGGCCTCATTTCCATGACATAAGCGACATTATTTTTTTTATGCGCGGTTCGGGTCAACTGGACTTGGAGCTAAGCGTCGGTGATGTCGCACCCCCCTCGCTCGACTGTGCTAATTGCTCATGCGTCGGTGTAGTCACTGGTATGTGATAGATTGTGCAGCTACTCTTTTTCCAACTGCTTGTCTAGTTCCCGAACCCGAACACGGCGCGTCTTCTCATGTGTTCGCTTGGCTAGTTCCCCAAGCTCGAACCTCGGGCGTTGTCGCAAAATGGCTTGGCGGCCCCGATCGGCGCCTCCAGCGAAGCCGAGCGGCCGCGCCTTCAGCTCCGACGACGGTCGGCTACGTCGCCCAGCTTCAGAGGCGTAGCGACCAGCTCCCCAAGCTCGAACCTCGGGATCGGGCGCTTTCACAAAATCGCTTCGCGGCCCCGATCGGCGCCTCCGGCGAAGCCGAACAGCCGCGCCTTCAGCTCCGACGGCGGTCGGCTACGTCGCCCAGCTTCAGAGGCGTAGCGACCAGTTATCCAAGCTCGAACCTCGGTCGCTTTCACAAAAAGGCTTCGTGGCCCCGATCGGCGCCTCCGGCGAAGCCGAGCGGACGCGCCTTCAGCTCCAATTGCGGTCGGCTACGTCGCCCAGCTTCAGAGGCGTAGCGACCAGTTCCCCAAGCTCGAACCTCGGGCGCTTTCACAAAAGGCTTCGCGGCCCCGATCGGGGCCTCCGGCGAAGCCGAGCGGCCGCGCCTTCAGTTCCGACGACGGCCGGCTACTTCGCCCAGCTTTAGAGGCGTAGCGACCAGTTCCCTAAACTCGAACCTCGTGCGTTTTCACTAGCGGCTTCGTGGCCCCGATCGGTGCCTCCGGCGAAGCCGAGCGGCCGCGCCATCAGCTCCGACGACGGTCGGCTACGTCGCCCAGCTTCAGAGGCGTAGCGATCAGCTTCCCAAGCTCGAATTTCGGGCGCTTTCACAAAATCGCTTCGTGGCCCCGATCGGCGCCACCGGCGAAGCCGAGCGGGCGCGCTTTCAGCTCCGACGACGGTCGGCTACGTCGCGCAGCTTCACAGGCGTATCGACCAGCTCCCCAAGCTCGAACCTCGGGCGCTTTCACAAAAGGCTTCGCGGCCCCGACCGGTGCCTCTGGCGAAGCCGAGCGGCCGCGCCTTCAGCTCCGACGACGGTCGGCTACTTCGCCCAGCTTTAGAGGCGTAGCGACCAGTTCCCTAAGCTCGAACCTCGGGCGCTTTCACAGAAAGGCTTCGTGGCCCCGATCGGCGCCTCCGGCGAAGTCGAGCGGCCACGCCTTCAGTTCCGACGACGGTCGCCTACGTCGCCAAGCTTCAGAGGCGTAGCGACCAGTTCTCCAAGCTCGAACTCTGGCCGCTCCTTCGTGGCCCCGATCGGTGCCTCCGGCGAAGCCGAGCGGACGCGCCTTCAGCTCCGATTGCGGTCGGCTACGTCGCCCAGCTTCAGAGGCGTAGCGACCAGCTCTCGAAGCTCGAACCTCGGGCGCTTTCACAAACGGCTTCGTGGCCCCGATCGGGGCCTCCGGCGAAGCCGAGCGGCCACGCCTTCAGCTCCGAGGAGGGCCGCGGGCGAAGAGGCGGCCCAGCGTCGCCGCTGCGGCTCGGGCGGCCGCCACCGCTCCTGGGATGATGATGGCGCTTTGGGTGCTGCGACGTGTGCAGGGGGTCCGGCACAGCAGCAAGACACGGCACACCCCCAGCAATGCTTCCGTGGTAACCGTTGTTCGGGGGTCCCCACACGGTGCGGTGACCACACCGTGCGGTGAGTCGGTAGGGATTCGGGGTCACCGCACGCTTTTGGGAGTCGGGTCGTTCTCCGAGGACGTCTCGGGCGACTGGGGCCTCCGAGGTCCCAAGACCGTGCGGTGACGGACCGTGCGGTGAGGTCTTGGGGGATTTCGAGGTCACCGCACGGTCTGTCACCGCACCGTTTCGGGACTCCAACGTTGTACCCAGATGTGTCGTGTGCCCAGTCCTGCGCCGGAAATTTCCGAGACGCTGCCGAGTGCCTGCAACCGTCACGGCGGTACCGGTTGGACATGGTGCGGTTTGCATGGGCCGCCCCTTTTTTCGCTGCAGTGCACACGGCGACCTGCCTCGCAAGCCACACCGGCTGCGCTGTCTGGTCGTCATAGTATCATTGCGGCCCCTTTCCATTTTTTTCGTCTGCAAGCTGAATCAATAGTGGCCAGCAGCGGGGCAGGATTTGCACCTATTCCGTCGGGAGGAACATCGGGTTAGGCTGCTGGCGTATCTTGTTGCATGGGCACGGCCGCCTATTGTGAAAACAAGGGCACGAGGCTGGCACACGTCGTGCGTGACCATTTCTAGACGTGGAGGGGCGCCATGTGTACCAAGTTGCCACGGCATGATGACACACAGCTGGGGCGAGACCGACAATGCCATTGCGCTGGTTGCCCCTGGCTTCGCTGCGAGCTCGAACGCGCGCTACATCGAGATTTGCCAAGAGGACCCGTTGAGATATTGGTAAGCCTTCCATCCTAACGAGCTTCGGCTGGAAGAAATGGTGATCGCATTCCACACCCACCACGAGGGCTGGCTGCCCGAGGAGCGACCAATCTGCTCAGGACTTTGCTGAGTGCGGTCCACGCTGCTGTTCGCTCTCTTAGGCTGCCCGTGGCCATCATGATCAAGAGGGCACTGGCCACGCAAAGGGCTTGTGCGCGTCACATCCCACGCCGACGACCAGTTGGCACGTTTTTCTTCACCAGCGCCGTCCACGCCTCCGACGCCCATCGCGACTTTGCCGCCGTCGCCATGCCGCTCTGTGTCGCCAGCGCGCGGCCTTTCCGTACACGACGCCCTTGGCCACGCCACCATGGTCTCTGGGCGGCCGTTCGGGGTCCGCTTCGGGGCTGGCGCCTTTCGCAGCTATATACACGTCTCGGCCACGATTCAGGCAACTCCATGGGCGGCGGGTGCATGGTTCGGAATTCGCCGAACACGTGGCGAAAGCCGAACCCTACCCTCGCCTCTCATCGATTCGAGAGAATCGATGGTTGGTGCAGGTGGGGTTCGGGTGCCGCCGCCTAAAATCTACATCATCAACGCCGCTGGCGACAACACTCAGCCATGCGCGGGTAGGTAGAGGGGGGAAGGCTTTTTCGAACGAGGCTGCTTCTTACAAGGCGCGGGCCGTGTCTTCAGATGTAGGGCCGGCGCGTTCTAAGAAGCAGATCCTTTTTAAGAAGCCATTCCCCCTCCCTCCACCCCCTCGTGCGCTGCGCCAAGTTCGGGTGTCGCCACCTGAAATCTAAATCATCAGCGTTGCTGGCGACAACACCGTCGACCCGAGTGGCCACACCACTCCTGGCATCCTCGCCGCGGGGGGGGTGCTCGACGGCGGAGGGCGCATGGAACCCGATTTCGGGCCCCAGCTCGGCGGAAGCGCATGCAGCACGTGTACCATATGTGCGCTGGTCACTCCTCTACGCTCGTCTCCTCCTCCCTCCTCTTCTCTCCTTTCTCTTCCTCCTGAGCCACTGGGCCACTGATGGTCTGAGAGTCCGACGGACTCGACCACCCCCCCCAGGGCGGGTCGGCCCTGAGGGGATTGATAGGGTTACCCATCGGTCGGAAGAAGTAGGTAGAAACATGACAAGCAGGAAGGCGTTGAGAGTAGATCGGGTGTTCGCCCGCCCCTGAGAGGACGGAAAAGGTGAAGCCACTCGATCATTGAAGTGGGAAGGCGCTTAAAGTATATTGGGATCTGGGACTCCATGCATATGTATTTTCAACGACCGATGGGTAGTGATTCATGCGACCTTTCAGGTCGAGGCCGTGGCGCCGGCCGAGCGATGCAGACGAAGACAAGGAGGCGAGGGGCCGAACCGGGGGAGGACGAGAGGGGCCCGAGCCGAAGCAGGAAGGAGGAGAGCGGGAGAGCGAACACAGAAGGGCCCCCCAAAAACACAGAGAGGCCGACGAAGCTCCCCACAACGAAGGAGGGTGGGAGGGAGAGGGGGGCCGAGGACGGCGGGGGGAAGGGGCAAGCGACGGGGGGGTGGGGGACAGCGTGGGCCTCTCCGCGCACCAGGGGGGGTCCGCTCCGTGCAGAGGGGGGCACGCTCCGTACCGCGGGTGTCCTCCTCCTCCTCGTCGTCCTCCTCCTCCTCCTCCTCCTCCTCCTCCTCCTCGTCCTCCTCCTCCTCCTCCCTCCTCCTCCTCCTCCTCCTCCCCCCTGGCCTCTACCATCCGTGCCCCTCCTCCTCCTCCTCCTCCTCCTCCTCCTCCTCCTCCTCCTCCTCCTCATCCTCTTCCTCCTCCTCCTCCTCCTCCTCCTCCTCCTTTCCGTAGCCATTTTGGCTCATGCCTGCCTTGGGCGCTAGGCGGGCTAGGTGCTCGCGTTTGCCTCGCTCTTCTGCTTCTGCTCTCGAGAGCGGCTCATTCTCTGTCCCCTTCGCCGCGAACCGCGATGGCGGGGATGGACGACGGCACCAAGGATGCTACGGCGGGCAGCCCTCAGCGGTGGCAGCCCTCATCACGCCGCGCGCTGGAAGCCCTGCAGCTTGGGCAGACAGCGGCGCGCCGTGCCGCGCGAAAGCGCGCCCAGCTGGCGTGCGAAGCCGCGCTGGATCGTCGTCGTGGGCGTGGGCTGCTGCCAGGTTCCTGGCAGGATCGCGAGGCTGCAGCTCGCCCCGCCCTCCGCATGGCAGTTTCTGGCAAGAGAGTACCAGGAGTTGCGAGGCGGCGGAGGAACGCAGCCTGGCACGCCGCCGAGGCCCCGCGCGGCGGCTTCACCAACGCATCGCTGGCGGAGCTCTTGGAGGCGGCCGCTGGACCTCGCCTTGGAGGCGCCTCGCGCGCCGCTGGCGTCCAGGAGCTGGATCTGGCCAAGGTCGTCCCGGCAGGAAGCCTGGCCCCGGGCTGCTGGAGCCTCCCGCCCAGGAACACCCTGAGGCGTGACGCTCCCGAGTTCGTGCCGCTGTTCTTCAACAGTGCTGTCGGCCCACCCGCCGACGGTGTCCAGCACTCGACGTCGGAGGAGAGCATCGTGCAGCAGCGGCACGAGTCTTCCGACCAGTCTGCCGCGAACGTGGCCGACGCCAAGCCCGAGATTAAGACCGCTGTTCATTTCAGGGCGAGGGCGCTGGAGACGTTCGACACGAAGCCTTTCAACGACGGCGACCACGTGGATTTGCAGTCCGACTTCGTCGTCGCCTTTCGCTCCCTCGCCACGAGTGCCGATCCTCGTCCTGGAGGCCGCGCGCGTGGCAAAGGATACTGCTGAACCTGACCTGGGCGTTGCGCTTAGGCTCACTGTTTTTTTATTCATCGACGCCTCTCTTTCTTAGATTACAGTCCTTTGGTGCCTTATCCGTGAATATATCAGAATAATATTGCAGATTGCGCCGCCTAGCGACTCTCTGCCTGGGGTCGGTGAGGGACAGCCTCAACCTATAGTCAGTCCGCAGCCAGTGGAATTGTGATTCAGCATTCGGTTGGCACGCTCTCGCTTGCAATCTCGAGGCTTCGACAGAGACGGGCTGCAGCTACAGAGGCTGCAGGTATCGGCGCTAGCCACGTCAGAAGGCGATCGCTTCTGCCCGCGAGCAAACAAATCCTCCTCCTCCTCCTCCTCCTCCTCCTCCTCCTCCTCCTCCTCCTCCTCCTCCCCCTCCTCCCCCTGGCCTCGCCCCTCCGTGCCGCGGCCCTCCCTCCCGGCGCCCCCTGGGGGCGTTGGGCCCGGGGGGGGGGGGGGCGCTGCGCCCCCGGGAGCGCTGCCGACAAGCCCAGGGGGCACCTGGCTCAGGAGAGGAAGAGGTGCCTATACCGGGGATGTTGTCCATTAGCTCTCCCCCTTGTTGTCCATCCTGGGAGGCCCCCGTCGCCACCGCCTGATTCGCCTCGGAGTCTTGGCCAGAGCGCGCCCCAGGAGAGGTCCGGGGAGCAGCGGTGTCGGCGCCTTCTGGTTTTCCCACTGGTCGGGGGTTCGTAGAGGGATGGTTCTCCCAAGGTGGGGCTGGGGAGCGGGCCCAGCCAGATGCCCTCGTTGAACGCGTTTCCTTTTTCCAGGGGCCGTCCAGAGCGACTTTCCCTCCAACCCGACCTTTGCCCTTGCCCCACCTTTCGTGCCCCCCCGAATTGGAGCCGGGGGGCCCCCGCCGCTCCCCCTGGGCCGCGGCCACCGCGGGGCCTGCTCAGATTCGCGGAGCCGTCGATGTTGGTCCGCTTCTCGGGGATGTTGGTCCGCTTCCGGGGGCGAAGGATCGCTGGTGGCGTTCTGTCTCTGGATGTGCGGTGAGAAGGAGTCGAAGTACCGCTGCGCGCCCAGTGACTGGGCGAGGTCCAGAGACTCAACGATGATCTGTAATTCGCATTCCTCGGTTGCCTCAACGAGTCGCTTTTCTAGGTCTTGGATGAAGGCCTGCCAGGGCTGGCGGGGCGAGGTGCTCCCGACAGTGGCAGATGGGGAGTCTTCCCCATCGAGGTCTGGTACTGGTAGGCCAGAAGGTCCTTCGGTCTCGCGAATGGCAAACATGTCGATGTTGGGCTCCGCAGTCCTGATGTCCATGAATCCTCGGTCTTCCTGCCCAGCGGCACCGTCCTTGTAGTAGCGGGCGTGGTTGTCCTATGGGTCGTCCTTGGCCTGCGTGGCCTCCTGCGGCTCCGTGCCGTGGCCTTGCCAGCGAGCTTGACGACGTGCGGGTTGATGCCCGGGTCGACGGACGTGTCCGTCGAAGTAGGGAATGGCTGTTCGGTGGCGTCCTCCGCCTTCACGGAGCTCTAGGTGGCCTTCTCGGCCTTCTCGGCGTAGGTGGCCCTCTCGGCGCTGTCGGTGGCTTTCTTGGCGCTGTCGGTGCCCTTCCAAACGTCATGGATGGTGGCGCCGCGCATGAGGCCATGGATGGAGTCTTCGGCCTCTGCGATGAAGGTAAACTGGTTGCGGTCTTTGGGCCCTTTGGCCCTTCTGCCCTTTTGGCTGTTGCCGGGTCCTCCCCCCTCAAATCCTTTGGCTTTTTCGGGCCAGCGCCCTGGGGGGTGCCCTGGATCCCCCCCCCTCTTTTGAGGTGCCCTCCTTTGACAGAGCTGCGGGTGCAGCTCGGACCGTGCTGTGGTTGCCCTGCTTGTGCCACCATCTGCTCCACTCGTCGATCTCGTCCTCTAGCCTCTTGATGCTCTCAGTCTCTTGGGCCAACTTCGCGTAGGCCATGTGGCGCGCATGGGCTTGCTTGCCCTTTCGCACGTCCGGAACGGCCTTGGCCCATACGTTTCGGCACGAACGAAATGGGTACGGAAAGAATGGGCACAATGCCCAACAGCAGTTCCTGTTCATTTTGAACAGGACTCGCTGTCCGCGCCGCCGCGGCCTGTACCCATTTGAGACACAAGGCCGCCTGCCTAACAGCGGCTGCTGTTGGTTTGGGACAACATTTGTTGTTGGGCATTGTACCCATTTTTTCCGTACCCATTTCGGGCGTCCAAAACGTTGTGTGTCCCTTCTTGTTGGTGAGGGACAGCTCCGCGCGCTGCTGGACCGCATCCTGCCGCTGCCAAGCCATGGCCTCGGCTGCCGCGGGCCTGCGGCAGGGGGCGGGAGTGGGGGGGGGCACGGGAGGCCCCCCTGCCGCGGGCAGCGTTGCCTGCCGCCATGGCGCGCTGCCGGGCGCTGCGCCTGGGCGCCGCCCGCGGCGGCTCGGCGGTGCCTCCCCGGACGCGGGGGGTCGAGTTCCCGCGGATGATGGCGCTTGCTCTTCCTCCTCCTCGTCCTCCTGCTCGTCCGTCACCTCTTTCTTCAGCGTGCACGGCTCCCTCTCCCGGCTGCGCATCACAGGCTGGGGCCATTTTTGGGATCCAGGTCCGCTATGACATCCGTGGGCGAACAGAAAACAAAAACAAAAAGATGGGATGACGAACGAACAATACACTCCCATACCCATAAGGGGGTCGGAGGGAGGAGTACTGGCTATGGGTATGGGTGCGGGTTGTCGGACCCTGGGGGGGCCCGGGGGGGCTCCGTTCGAGCGGGGACCCCCATACCCATAGCCCCGTGCGTCCCATCTATGGGTATGGATGTGCGTTGATCGTTCGTCATTGGAGCGGATGGATGGGAGGGGAAGGATGTCAGATGTGGCGCGTGCGCGCGCACCTAGCTTGCCCTTTCCCTCTCTCCCCCCTCCCTCTCTCTCTCTCTCGCTGTCTCTCTTGCCCTCCTCGTTCTTCTCCTTACCCTCCTCGTCCTGATCGCCGCCGCCGCTGATGTCGTAGTCGCAGTCGTTGGCCGTCGTCCTCCCCGTTCTCGGCCGTTCCCGATTTTTCTCGCTCGCTGTGGTTTGGTCGGGCCAGGCGAAAAGGTGGGTTTCGACATGACCAAGCTGGCCGAGAAGGTCGTCACGATCGAGTGCATCTACGACAACGAGAAGTGGACGCAGGGTGCGGGTGGGGGCGGGGCGGAAGCGGCGGGCAGCTCCGAGCACGGCCCGAACCCACCGTAGGGGACCCCACTGGGCCAAGGGCAGGGTGAGGATGATGCGGGGGAAGAGGGAGGAGCGGTGGGAGGATTGGAAGGACTGAGATGGAGGATGCGGATCGCGATATTTCCGCTGTTGGTGGTGATGATGATGCTGATGACGCCGACGACGATGATGGCGATGACGATAGTTATAATGATGCTGATGTCGATGATGATGATGATGATGATCACGATGCTGCTGATGCTGATGCAGATGATGATGCTGATGATGATGAGGATGATGATGATGGTGATGATGAAGGTGATGATGATGATGTTGATGATGATGCTGATGATGATTCTGATGGTGATGGTGAAGGTGATGGTGATGGCGATGCTGGTGATTATACTGCAACCGATGAGTATGACGACGAGGATGATTCTGCTGATGCCGATGCTGATGCTGATGACGTTGCAGATGATGATAGTGGTGGTGGTGGTGATGGTGATGGTGATTTTGGGAGTGGTGATGATGATCTTGATGTCGACGACAGCGTCGTCGACGACAAACAATGATGAAGATGGAGATGATGATGCTGCTGATGACGAGGACGACGACGAGGATGAGGATGAGGACGATGATAACGATGACGGAGATGACGATGATGATTTTGACGATGATGCTGATGATGACGATGATGGTGGTGGTAGTGGCGGTGGTGGTGGTGATCGTGATGGTGATGTGACAACGACGACGATGACGATGATGATGATGATGATACTGATGCTCATGACGATGCGGTTGTTGGTGATGATGCTGACGATGAGTATAAATCTGGCTATGACTGTGACGACGATGATGACGACGAGGAGGTCGACGAGAACTGTACTGATGATGATGCTGATGATGCTAAGGATGATAATGATGCTGATGGTGATGACGATGATGATGTTAATGATTGTGGCGCTGATGATGACGGTGCTGCGAATGATGCTGATAATGATAATGATAATGCTGATGATGGTGAAGATGATGATGCTGATGCTGATGATGCTGATGGTACTGATGATGCTGATGATAATGCTGATGATGCTGATGCTGATGATGATGATGACGACGCTGACGATGACGATATTAATGACGATGCTGATGAATATGATGATGCTGCTGCTGATGATGCTGCTGCTGATGATGATGATGATGATGATGATGACGATGCTGATGCTGATGATGCTGATGATGATGACGATGATGACGATGATGACGATGATGACGATGATGATGATCCAGCTGCCTACGGCAACTTCTGCCACAGTGCATGGTTTGTGGATATGAAGCTTATTGGATGTTCTTTGGGGTCTTGGGGCAGGCCTCTCGGGGGCTTCTCGGAAGCACTTTGATGCGTCTTGGGGGCCGTTTGGGCCCTCTTTTGGGGCTCCTTGGGGCTTCTGGGGGCCTCTTCGGGGCTTCTTCCGTAGCCATTTTGGCTCAATATGACTGACACCTGGGGCCCTCGCCCCTGTGGTCAAAGGGATACCGCTGGTCCGCGGCGAGCAGTGCGGTCTACCGCACGGCAGTCGGGCGCGTCATGGCGGCTGAGGGGCCGCCCTGGCGAGCGGGGGACAGCGGCAAAGGCAAGTGGTCCTGCAGCTGCGGGACTGTGGACAACTATGCGACGCGGATGTACTGTCGGGGCTGTGGGGCACCAGCACCGAAGCGACAGTGTACGTACAAGGATGTGCTGTTGGGCTCGTCCAAACGGGAGGCAGCAATGTAGAAGAAGATGGGCGCCCTGCGCGAGGAGCTCTAGGAAGTCAAGTACAACACGGGCGACAAGCAGGAGCACGTTCAGGAGGAGCGGCCCGACCTTGCGAGGCTCTACAAGTGGGCGCAGGCGTGCAGGCAGGACTGGGGCGCCAAATCGGAAGAGTACAAAGCCGCGAACGCCAAGTACCAGGTGGCGCGCATTGAGAAGGACAGCGGCAATCCGCACTCGGTGCAGCTCACGCAGGCCAGGCACGCACGGGAGAAGCTGGAACAAGGGGCTGGACGCAACGGCCAAGGACGTCAGTTGGTTCGAGCAGCAGCTGAAGCAGGCGCGCGCCAAGTACGATCAGAAGAAGGAGCAGCTGCAGATCGCCAAAGCCAAGGAGCAAGAGC